TCAAACCAATCTGGCTCTCTACAGATGTCAAGCAGTTCGGAGACTTAAGACATCAATTGTGACCCAACTAGCACGACAGAAATCATCAATGCAGTCACTTTTCTGAAAAACAGGAAGGCCTCTGGAGAAGACGGGATAACACCAGAGTTATTCAAAGCTTGTTTACTAACTCCGATTGACCCGCTTAACTCTCTTTTCCATACCATCGGGAAAGAGAAGGTTTTCCAAAAGACTGGACGGCTTCAATCTTAGTCCCGGTCCCAAAATAGGATCAGATGCGAAAATTACAGGGGTATTAGCCTGATTGATATTGCGGCCAAACTGTTTGCAGTGGTACTGCTTAATCGCTTCGCAGTCGTCAGAGATACCCACACTCACCCGAACCAAGGGGGGTTTCGCCGTGGAAGAGGCTGTGTTGAACAAATCTTCACTTTCCGTAGAATCCTGGAACACCACTACAAGTTCCAACAGCCTAGCACTGCATGTTTCATTGACCTTCGTGCTGCGTTTGACTTTGTCGATAGAGAATCCTTGTGGTGCATATTGCGGTCCGACGGGATGAGAAGTTCATCAGGTTCTTAAAGTTACACTACTCAGGAACCCGAGCGTGCGTCTGTATCTATAAAGAAGAATCGGCTGAGTTTACCCTAAGTTCTGGATTTAGGCAAGGTTGTCCCCTATCGCCGGTGTTATTCAATTACACCGTACATTGGATAATGCGACAAGCACTCATCGACTACCCTGGAGTGCAGCTTGGCCTACGTACATGGACCGCAGACCTCAAGTTTGCGGATGATCTCGTTGTATTTGGAGACAGCATGGACAACCTCCAGCCTTTTGTCGTATAAATCAGTCTGCCCAGTCCATTGGGCCAGAGATCGACACGTCGAAAATGAAGACATTTTCGGCCGAAACTTCTACCATGACACAACCCCTCTCGATTAACGGGGAGCTTGTCGAATCAAAGTTTTCAAGCATCTTGGCTTTACGATAAGACTAAACGGTCAGGCTAAGGAGAAAATCGAAATCCGTGTAAATGGATCTAGAAGAGCCTTTCTACAACTCCTCAAACCGTTGTGGAATCGATGCGAAATAAGCTTAAACACTAAGCTTCGGGTTTATCACGCTCCCATCAGCCCCATCCTCACTTATGGTTGTGAAACCTGACCGCTAAGAGTACAAGATACAAGGAAGCTCGAACTCCTCGATCATTTGGTGCTTACACCGCATCTTGAAAGTAAATTGGATAGATCGGATTTGCAATGAGGTTCGACGGCGCTGCTTGAACATTGACAAGCTTTTAAAAATGCCACAACGCCGGCGCCTTCAGTGGTTTGGCCATGTGCTTCGAATGCNTCGAATGCCCAACACTCGACTATCGCGACAGGCTGTAGCCCCCGCACCGTGCCGTGGATGTTGCCCACTCGGTGGTCAACTGAAGACCTGGAGTAGTATGATGGAGGCGGATTTGGAATTACTGGATTTTCAATCCGTAAATGGAATTCGCAACTAGAACCAGAACTGAGTTCCTCTGTGCGTCAACCTTGCTACCCATCGTAATGCATGTGCCGCCGTCACTAGACATCCAGGAAGCCGACTTATCCTCCCGCAGAAGTTAACCGATCAAAAGTAAAAAAGTATGTATTGAGAAGATGCATGAACGCCTGTTTACGACACTTAGCTATATCACTCATTGTCTCTAACCATCGGTTACGACCATCCCGAGGTCTCCATCCAGGGAGTTTAACGGGACCTATGTGACCCAGAATCCTGGTTAGGGTTTTCACACCCCCATGCCAGGTCTTAGCTTACCCAACCTTGGCTTTAGTCCACCCACTACCTACCTCGGTGAACATCGCTCGCCGTGGTAACCTATTTGGTGACATGCGTGATATATGCTCCAACCAACGTAATCTATGGAGGTCGACCACTTCCTCCAGTGGGCGACCGCAGTTGCCTAAAACTTCGTGCCTGACCTCAGCATTGCTCGTCAGGCTGCCCCACCAGATTCATGCAATGCTGTGTAGACCGCGGTGTTCAAACACCGACAGTCTATCTTTATCCTGTTTTCCTAATGACCAAGTTTCTGCTCCATATAGCAGAACTGGCCGAACTGCTGCAGCATACACTCGACGACACCACAGATGTCTCAAGTTAGCAAATGTTAACTGAGCCTTCTTTATGCGAGCTGACGTTTCATCCACTGGGTGAGATGTAGCTGCCCAAATAACAAACTTATCCACTTGCTCTATTACTTCCGCGGTTAGAGTGAGGCTGGGTGCGGGACCAACCCAGTCTTGTAGTAGCATTTTACACTTCGAAGGTATAAAACGCACACCCAACATGGCTACGCTGGCATTTAAGCTATCCATAAAAGCTTACAACTTACCTGGATCTTCACTGAGTAGCACGATGTCGTGATTTTATCAATTTTATTGGTTATCCAGGCAAGTCGATCAACCAAACTATGACAAAAAAACAACTAAAGAAAGGAGAAACTCACCCTTTAATGTATAGCACCTGTCTGTTGCATGTCCTTCAAGATCTCGAGCTAGAATGACATACGAAAGGTGCTTCAATCGTAAGTGCTTCATGACTTCACGCAGACCACATACTAAACGCCTTGTTCGCTTCTGATGGAACGGAGCATTGGCATGTTTGACATAAGCGCGGTCCTGAATATCCGACAATTTTTGTAAGAACTCCGCCACCTTTTTTTCTTGATCTTCAGATAAAGGAGATTTTTTGACATTTTGGATTGCCTACAGAGTGTACAGCGATTATCAGGAAAGGAATTAGACCAACTTGAGTCACTTGTTTTGAGATACCTTCAGATGCTTCGGCTGTAGTAACAACGGACGGACGTTCGGCATTGACCGAGGCTATATCAAAATGGCTTGGAGCAGATCTACAACGACGTGAACGGCGTTCCGAAAGTATAACCCTTTTAAGGCGGCTGGGACGTTTAGCTTTGGGCTTTTCACGGCGTTTACCTATTTTCTGTGGTGTACTTTCACTGATTGGTGGCAACGTTGGGCTCGTTATGAAACTGTCACGCGAATGGTCTGCTTCGCCCAAACGAGGGGGGGACAGGAAATCGAGTACGGGAACCAATGCGGCTTGACCGAATCGCTTTTCCAAAGAATCATTGGGAGACGAGGTCATGGTGGACGGTAAACTCATAGACCGAGAATCATTCAAACTGTAACTTTTACTTCTGCGTCTAGGTTTCCTGTTCGAACCAGAGGACTTTCCCGACTGCTTGGCCTTTTGAAGTTTGTTATTCGATGGTGTCGCTTTAGTAAGTGGCTGTTTTGCATTGAACGATTGAGAGTTATGTATTGGTTTAGTTCTACCGTTAGCGGGTTGAGCTGAGTGAGGTTGACCAGGGTCATTTTGTGACGGTACGCGAGAAGCAGTGCGCTTTTGCCCTGGAGGCAAAAACAGGGCTATCCTTGGTGGCTTGGATCTTCCATTTGGAACAGTAAAGCCGTGAGGGATTAGCGACGGTGGTCTACTAGGTGCTGAGTTCAATGCGGAAGCAAAGGTACGCGAGAAGGTCGGCATAATCTGAGCATGACTAGATTGTGTTTGATATCCACGAGGATTCCCCAGATTCATTGTGCTTATTGAAGGTGTCACGGACCGATTTAGACTAGACTGGAGACAGGCTTTCATTGTCCCAACGGGACGCACTTCATTGAAAAACCTGTAAGATAACGAATGAAATAGGACAATTATGTCTGCGTTACAATTCGGAGGTGATAAAACCTTTAATGCCATCAGCTGGGTTAGCCCAGATTCACTCAGTATGGACACGGAAACGAGGAAAGCTTTTATCATCGAAAAACGCTTGTTCTGCACAAAATAAAACCAGAATGTTTAGGAAGAGTAGTAATATTATTTTGATTTCTTTTGTTGAATAGAGCAGTCAATTTTCAGGACAATGAGTGCATCTCGGTATATGAAAAATGCCCATTGCAACATTAAAAACGATTATATATATAAAACAGCGTTAGTTTTTCCACTCGAAATGATGCCTCCTTGGACCACTTTTTTGTTACCGAACCATCTTTTTTCATGCCTTCAAACGTGCACCAGTAGGCAAGTTCGATCGCCGTCTAATTAAAGTTTTACCTACAATATATGGTAAATGCAAGCAAAAAATCCTAACGAAGAAGAATACACTTAAGATACGTTTACATCAATTTAATGGAAGTAACATCCATAGCAGCCGATAAGGACTTACAACTAATCTCCGATCCTGAAGTCAGTCTCCTGTAAGAGCCTTACCAATTATCTCAACTACTGTTATGTGTGCTGCCTTCAAGAATGGACTCGCCTAAAGCCCAAATGCTTCATTTCTGATAGACTGAAATGGTTACGTAAGCTGAAAGGGCCTATCGCTCAAAAGAAAAACTGACGGTCAACTCTGTCAACTTTCGTATCAGAAGCTAGATAGCTTCACCCTTCGAGTGTCGGGCGAAACGACATCGTGGTGTTGCTGGTGTCGGGATGGCGCCAAGTGCTAACATTATTATTATATTTCACATACGTCTGAATCCAGACTGTGCTAAACAAAGCATAGTACAGTAATTTTTATGAAGAAGAAAAAAAGTTCCATGATTTGCATGTGGGCCGATTGCTGCCGGGTTGCCCAGGCCAAGGCAGGTGAATTTTCTTGAGGAATCCACAACCGGAGCCTTCGGCTAGCCAAAGCCTGACCTGCAAGGCAGCGGGGCGGTGTGCGAAAACCGCAATCTATTGGGAGCCGAAGTCCAGTTCAACGGATCATACGCCTTTCGGACGGGGTCAAACGTTCAAGGTGCCCAATACACCTCGATGCCCGATCGAGCCGGTGACCATTATCACAACCAAAAACGTGAGTGTGGTTCATACGCCTCCTCTTGGTTGGTTTCGAATCAGGGTTTTTGGTTAGCTCCCCTAGGTGAACTGCCACTGGTTCACCAACCATGTTATAGCCTCGTATGTCGGCTTTTCGTCCTCTCACTTTGGTGGGAAAACACCTCGGCCACGAGAAGGCAGTGAGTAGGACTTCCTCAACAGAGGCTATTTGAGACGCTTGGTCGCATGTGAGCATTTTGCGAAGTGTAAGGGTAGGGTGACCAACCGCATTAGTCGCAGTAGGCTTCCTGTTTTAGGAGCTTAATCACCAATCTGTTCAATGTCAATGGACTGTTGTCATAAACAGTACTACTCTGGTTTAGCGGTATTTTATATTTTCCTCTTGATATTATTTTCAGCATTGTGCTTGTTCTTCAGTAGTTGCTCAAATTAAGGAATAAGTACAAATCTGCATCGTTAGTGGTTGCCTAAAGCAAAACTAAAATACTCATTCAAATAAAATCTCTAATTTTCGTACTTTGTTTTCCAGAGCAACTGTTTGATGAGCTACACTCACTGTTGAAAACAAAGTTCAGTAGGCGAAACAAGCCGTTTTTCGATAAATACGCATTACGTGCCCTCGCCAGCGAACTCTACAAATCTGAATTCGGTGTGCCAGCAGGTTTATACCTGATAGACTCCCAAACACACGACGGCTTACCTCCACGTTGCTGACCCGTTCGCTCCATCCAACATAGGCTAAACTACGTGAATACCGATAATCCTGGCCATTTAGTTTCAGCGCAGGAGTAAGTGAAACCCAGTCCTGCAGCATCACTTTGCACTTTAAAGGTGCAAAACACACACCGAATGTGGCAACTGCACTTGTTATTCTACCAATTGCGCTTTGCGCGTCCTCCATATATCCAGTTTTTTCAGTTTTACAACCATTAACCATGCACTTTCGTGCGCGGGTTTTGGTTGCTGTCTTTTGGTTGCCCATTTGGATAAAATAGCGAAATGAAGATTGGAATGCCGAAGCAAATTCAAGCGGAAGATGAGAATACATAAAGAGTGAGATGGGGAATACATATAGTGCGTTAGGAAAATAACGAGTGGATGCACGAGCGCCACTGTTTGTGACAGCCAGCTATATCACTCAGTGTAGCTAACCATCGGTGACCATCATCCCGAGGTCCCCAGCCAGAGAGCCTAACGGGGTCTATGTGACCTAGTCTCCTGGTTAGGGTTTTCATACCCTCATGCTAGGTCTTAGCTTGACCGCCCTTCGTTTTTTTCCAATCGCTACCAGCCTTGGCAAA